CCCCAAAACCCCAAAACCCCAAAACCCCAAAACCCCAGATGAAATATAGAACATTGAACTCGTAAATTGGTAGGTAAGTACTTTTAGTAATCAATGTAAGATTTATTGGGTAATTTAATTAAATTCCGTAGAAATTACCCTGAATGATCGGCCCCATCATCATTAGGCTTGCATAACTCTCCTATAATAAGATTAGAAAGAAGAAAAGGGATTTAAGATTACATTGCGCTGATTAAATCGGCTAGGCGGCTTACCCTGTCGTCAAACACGAGATGATTGACATTTCTGGGCTCAATTTTTTTCTCTTTGTAGTTCCATTCAAATTTAAACTCGCCCCAATCCTTGTCAGGGTCAACCTTGTGAAGCACCATCCACATCTCTTGAGTGAGAGGCTTAATAGTGGCTTCAATTGTATTTACAGGAGCTTTAATGTTCTCTCTACTCAGATCATCTTCGCATACAAGTTTCATATCTATTACCAAGCTCTTGTTAAGATTGTTCATGACAGATGCAACGAGGACGAAGTCAGTTTCTCTTTTTGGCAAGTTCCAGTCTGATCCTTTCTCTTCTTCATCATCATCTTGCTCATTCTTATTGTTAACAGTGACTTTGTTGACTCCGACCTGGACATCATCAAGGTTAGAGACGCTCTCTTTTGGCATTCCTTCTCTCTGACTATCTCCTTCGCCCTCATGGTCTAGTTCAAACTCCTGAGTGCTCTGGATATGCTTCTCTTCATAATCTGCTGCTTCCATCTTGGAGTTATAGAAGGCATATCCTGGTAAAGTCTTATTGCCATAAGTAGTTGGCTGAGACTCAGCGATCTCACAGAAGACTTTATGTACAACTACAGCGACGCCTTCTTCATCTCTAATTTCTTCGTACACCTTCTCGATCCTAGTAGCGCAGTTGATGATGTATCTCTTGGGGATAGCTTCAATGACCTGGAATGAATGCTCTTCTTGTTCAGGAACCTTTTCTTCTTCCTTAGTGTCTTCGGCCTTGGCTTCTTCTTTAACCTCTTCTTTCTTGTCCTCAGTCTTTGCTGGTTCTTCCTCGAGAGGGAGTCCTTGAAGTTTTCTGTTGTAGTTTCTGAGCTTTGCTTCATACTTTTCGAGGTACCCGAAGCACTTCCTGATGCTCTCCTCCTTCTTGTTGTTCTTGCTGTACGCAGAGATTATTCTGGAAGCTTTGACAAGTTCTTTCTCTAGGTACGGTCTGATCCAATCTGTGAATCTAGCAGATTCATAAGTTAATGGATCGAGGTTGAACATGTATTCAGACAAGAAATCACTTCCCACAATTATGTCAAACAAGATATTCAGACAGTTTACAACATAAAGATCCATCTTTCCTCTGTACCTAGTGAGAAGTGAGAGTAATGAATTCTCTTTTCCAGTCAAGTCAAGTGGGCAGAGGTACTGATACACTTCATCTACAATGCTACTGCAGTATGAAACTCCGAATCTTGGAAGTCCTTCAGGGTTAGTCAGTCTAGCACTCAAGCAGCTGAATCCTAGAACCCATTCAGCTCTGTTTCTTTGGAATTGATCTTCGATGTAAAGATATTGCTTAGCAACAATCATGCAGTTTTGAATTTTCTCATAATCAGTAGAGTTGATAGTCTTCAGAATAACTTTTCCGATTTCCTTTGAAGCTTCAAGATCATTATATGAAATATGGGAGATAGCCTTTCCTAACATAGCATTTCAGTTCACAAGAGCGACCTTCAGGAATTCAGGATGAAGCAAGAAATTCTTGATATTATCTTCATTGAGTTCATAGTGGACAGAAGCCTCAGCGTCGAATGTACTTGGCTTGACTTCAGAGTCCTTATTAAATTGAGGAGTATAACATCTGACAATTAGATGTGAAATTGCTTCCAAGAGAGGTCCAAATTTAGGTGCAGAATAAGCACTTCCCATTTTGGTTCTCTTTTCACCTGCAGTATAAAGAGGACTGTTTTGTCCAAGCATGAAATCTACAAATCCAATAATGCCTCCTCTTTCCATTGTTAAATTAATCTGAGCTTCTCCCCCAACGATGATATTTCTGAGCATACAGAGATATTGCTCAAATTTGCTCCAGTTTGAAGGCCCTCTTTCCTTTAGAGTCTTAATAGCAAGATCATAGAATCTGACTGCCATTGATTTTGGTCGGATGACTTCCTTCTCAACCTTTTCCTCTTCTTTCTCTTTATCACCCGTTGAGATAAGATCTTCAACAACTTTGATTGTTACCTTTTCAGTTTCATTAATGTATTCCTTCTCTAACTCAAAGCATCTGTTCACTAAAGTGGAGACAAGCTTTGCAGCAGCATTTCTAGACACTTTATCACTACAGAACAGCATGATCTGGAACACGTAAAGAACAGTGTCGTCATTCTCTTCCTGAAGGATATATTCCATTGTGTTCATGATAGCCTTATCAGAAGCTTCATATAACTCACAGAGAGTGTTTGCAATGGTAGGAAGCTTCTGGTTGTGGTAAGCCTTGGTTAAAACTTCGTAAACAATCTTGTTTCCAACAGTAACGACATTGCTAATGACCTCATCAATCTTATCTTTATCAGTATCTGGCAAGCTTTCTTGCTTATTTTTGAAGGTGAGTGTACCAATCATTAACTCATTAACATAATCATAGAATTCTTTAGAGTAGATCAACTTTTCAAAGGAGAACTCTAAGTTATTAGACCAGATCTCTTTGTAAATCTTGTTTGGGACAAACAATTTTGCTTCCTTCATAGTAATCTCATAATACTTCTCATTTGTTTTAGAGTCAGTCATAATAACAGCATTTTCTGGGATAACAGTCTTATTTACTTTACTCTTTTCACCCTCTTTCTCGTTCTCTTCAGGGATCAAGATCTTAATAGGCTTCTTGAATCTCTTTTCGTAGACCAATAAGTAAGCACTTTTACCATAGGATGCAGTTTTGAACATGCCGCCGAACCAGTCGTCGTTACCTGCACTTCCTCCGTAACAGTCACCCTTCAGGTCTTCAAAGTTATAGTCACTGACTCTTGAATCATTGAATTCCATCCATTTGTCTTTGCTAGTATCGAGCCATTCATCTTCGTGCTCATTTTCCTTCAAGAATCTATCTGTGTTGATCAAGGAGTAGTAATGCCCAGCATCAGCAGTTCCGACATGGATGATAACTCCTACAAGTTTATACTCATAACACTCAGATTCATTTTCTCTAACATTCTTGAGATAAAGTTCTTTCTCTTCGATTCTTTCCTTTTTCTCTTCCTCGGTAAGCCCTTCGTACTCGTCTTCGCCTTCTTCATCAGATTGCTCATCATTGGCGTCTGCCTTGCCAAGTTCCTTATCAGTGAGCTTTCCTTCTTCCTTCATAACATGGTTCAGACTGTAAGGAGACAGATCTAGGTTCTCAGGGAACTCAAAGTGAGAATTAACCTTCTGGTTCTGGAAGGTGTTGAAGTCGAAAATTAACCTCTGGAGTTGCACCACTAATACATTAGGTGACTTAGAGAACAGTGTACGCTTTGTGATGTCTACCTTCTTCTTACATCCTGGACATTCATAGTCTGAGATTACTTCTCCTTCCAAGTTCTTTTTGATAGATTCTTCAAGAGATTTTCTCTCTTTGACAGTGACAGAGACATTGTAGAAGTCTTCAAATCTGTTCCTAGCGAAGCCACATTCTTTACATACCATTTGGGAGCAATTCTGTCCGTTAAATGTAGAATTGAAGAGGTACTTCTGAGGAGTTGGTTTAATCAAGTTCTCAATTCTATCAAAAAGAATATTATAAAACTCTTCAGTATCATGCTGTACTGATGTATTTGTAGGCTGCCCATCCAATTGCTTGAAGGAGAAGCAGAATTCGAATGGATTATAATCAACTTTCTCCGAAAGCTCGAGGTGACCGAATAATCTCTGCAATTGATGAAGAACGTTGTCATCTATCATTTTTCCCTTATGTTCAACCCAGTCAGGAGGAGTTCCATCATCAGCCTGTAAGAGTTGGTATCTGAATGATGGGACGTGATACAGCTGTTGCAACATTGAGTTCATATAGCAGATACATCCTAAGTTTCTGATTCCACTGTATTTTCCTTTCCTTGTATCTCCAGATGGAGTGTACATCCATGATGGATGGAGCCTAATTTGCTTGCACAATGGTTGCATTTGGTTAACAATCAACTCATTAAGTAGCTCAATAGAGTTATTACAGAGAGTCCATAGCAACTTATAAGCCCATTTTCTGCTTTCTTCAGTCTTGCACTTGTTTCCTGATATATGAGAAGAACCAGCATCTGTTCCTTCTGTCACATCCTCTTCAGAGGCAGAGATATTATTTGGGAAGAGGCATCTCTGGAAGAGCTCAGTGATGAAGTTATTATTGATCGCAATGTCAACTCATTCTCCAAGTCCCCCTTTCTCAAGGACCATATGTGCTATCTTAAGGTATCCAATCAGAGTTTCATCCTGTCTCAGTGAGTTTCTTCCCTCTCTTGATTGATGGGACTTGATTTTCTCAATAACTTCAGTGAAGAACTTTGTGGCATCAAGGATGTCTTTATTGACATTTTCTTTCTCTAACCTCATGAAATATTCTTCGATCAATTTAGATACCAGTTCAAAGTATTGTGAGGTGCAAGCTTCTTCTCCTTCATTGTCCTTTGGCAATTTGCTGAGCATTGCCTTTAGAGTATACTCAAAGGTGTCCTCCTTTGCTTTCTCAATCTTAGTTGCAAACAGGAACAAAGTGTGCAAGAATTCTTCCCTGATCTTATGCAAAGAAGGGTACAGAATTCCTCTCAAGATGAAGTCTTGGACTTCGCTAAATTCCTCACATGTAAAAGTGAAGAAATTGTCTAGGATTTTAGGATTATGCAGGATACATCCAAGCCAAAGGGAGAGTGAGCTCTCCACAATCTTTTTCTCATCAAAGTCCATCTCTTCCTTTACAATGATTGAGGCAATTGACTGAAGTACGATGCTTTGGAGCTGGTCAAAATCGATAACCTTGAGCATTTTATCTCCTAGATCACCCTTAAGTTGGGATGCAAGCATTTCGATCTTTTTCTCAACAGCATTCTCTTCAGCTCTTGGTCTGAGAGAGCTAACCTTTTTCTTGAGAGGAATACCTCCATCACTGCCAGCTGCTGCTTTATCAGAGTCAAGGTCATCATAATCGTCACCGAACAAGTAATCTTCAGTGGTCATGTCCATTGGATCAGGGTCAAGATCATAGAAGTGTCCAGTGTCTTCAACCATTAAGGTTCTTGAGATCGATTTCTTTCCTGTAGGAGTTGAGTAAATATTCTCTTCATGATCACTTGTGGCTCCCCAATTATCATAAGTTTCTTCTTCCTTTGGAGGAGGTTTCACTAGCGATTGCTTCTTTACCAAATTCACAAGGTTGGCAACCTCGGGTTCAACAGCTAAGAAGGCTGATGTGATAAAGATCTTCAAGATATTCAAAAGGAAGCCTAAGAAGTTCTTCTCAAAGCTATTCATATTAGCAATATTGTTCTGAGTTTTTGAGAATAATTCATAAGAGAATTCAAATCCTTTCTTTTCAAGGAATCTAAAGATCCATGTCTTTCTCAGTTCTTTAGTTTCAGTCTCATTCTTTAGAGCTTCTTCGATGTCCTTTTGGTTTGAAGCGAGAAGAGCAGAGACAAGGAACTCGTCTGGTCTCTCAACTTCTTCTTTCTCCTTCTCATCTTTGTCTTTCTCCTCTTCTTGCTTATTATTAGCTGCAGCAGGGCCATAACCTCCTGTCATTGAGGTTTGTGCCTTACTAGTGTCTTTGTTCTTGTAAACTTTGCAGATTTCAAGGTCTCCTTCCCCACCTTCTTCAATTAAGCTTTCAATGATTTGGAAGGTATAGAGGAGCTTGAAGATACTTTTAGTATCAAACAAGGTCTCCCAGTCATAATCTCCATTCTGCTTCTTCTCTACATTCAGGTTCAGGATCTTATTGTTTATGGCAGGATTCGTCACTAATTTCTGAATCAAGCTCCATGCTTCTTTAGAAGACTCATCCGTTCTGTCTAAGAGTCCAAAGAGAGTCTCAAAGTACTTCGATTCGTGAGAGAGAATATATCTTGGCAGGATAGTCTTGTCAGTATTCTCTTCACAAGTATCACTGATTTTCTTCAAGTCATTTCTGTAGTTATGAGCAAGGATGTTTGACCTAACAACTTCTTCCTTTCTAACGCATGAGAGTCTGTAAAACTCGACAAATCCAGCTTTGTCCACCTTTCCATCATTATCATAGTCATGGTTATTGAAGAGGTTCCTGACTCTGTTGTCTGATGTCTTGCATTTATCATCTGTGCATGATCTGATGAACTCTACTCAATCATCTGGAGTCATAAGGCCATCATGAGAGAACTCATCGAACCATTCTCCGAAGATATTCTCAGCTTCTTTAGAAAGGGATTTGTCCTTATTAAGAAGAGGAGCTTTAGGAATATTTCCAAGATTTTGCTTGGTTGCCATAAGGACTTCATTTGGCTTGAAGTTTAACTCTGAAAGAGTCTTTCCGTTGTCAATATCCTTGATCTCGCTTGTAGTAGCGCTTCTGATAAGTTTAACATATTCAGCAGGGACCCTATTGACAGCTCCGATTACTCTCTTGATATCATATACAGTAGCATTGCTGTAGAGAGAAAGTTCAATCTTTCTCCCAATAAGCTTGTTGTAAGACACAGAGTTAGTGATGCTAATCTTGTTTAAAAGTTCACCCTTCAGGAGAGATCTCTGTTGCTTCAGTCCTGTAGTTCCTTTTCTCTCTGACTGAGCAAGGAATTCATTGAAGATTCCGATAATGTTGATGATCTCACTAGATTTACTCTCGTCTGACTTTTCTTTATTCTCCTGAATCTTGGATAAGAAGGAAAGGGCTGACTCAATACATTCATAATTGATCTCTTTCTTCTTTTCTTCAATGCTTGGACAGAGGTTGTAGTAGAGTTTGATCAAAAACTCAGTGGCCTTCTTGCTAACCTCCTTATTTCTGCACTCAATAGCAATCTTCCAGATATTAGTAATTCCTTCTAAGTTTTTAGGCTCTGTTTGCACCAAAAAGTTGACTTCTTCTTCAGGCTCTTCTTTCTTAACTGGCTGCCTAACTCTGTTGATAGAGAAGGTGGAGAAAGTTGGACCAATTTGGTTTCCATATCCACTGTAAACAGTAGTGACCGACTTTGGTTTAACAATTCTTTCAAGCTTTTCAGCTGTCTCATTGGCAAGCAAGAAATAGCTTTGCATGCAGTAAAATCCATCAAGAGTGAGAGAGGTCATTTCTCCAGTACCTTTACCAAGTCTCTCATTGAAGATGGCTCCAATGTCCTGGAGTTCCCAAACTATACTACCTCCTTTAGGAGTCTCACAGGACTCCTTGAGCCATTTAAATAAGGCTGCTTCATCAAAGTTAATATCAGATTCATCAACTAAGCAGCTCCAGATAATGTCTACTTCCTTTCTTGAGATCGTGAAGGTTGAGCTTGAAGCAAGGAACTTAAGGAAGCCAAGTCTCTCTTCAATATTGGTCTTGTGGTCATACCTTCCTTCAAATTTGAACTCTTTGATCTTGGCTTTGTCCTTAACCTCGCAGATCCTTGTCTGAGAGACCTTGCTATAATTTCTAAGGTTTTCAAGGAAGATCTCGATGAGGTTTTCATTCTCTATGAAGAAGATAATAGCATCATTTTTGCTGGAGATTTTTGGCTCGTTTTCCTTCTTCTCTTCTTCATTAGTCTTATCCTCCTCTGGGGTAGCTAGAGTTCCTGATTCCTCAGTGTCAAAGAGGAATGAGGAGTAGTCTACATCTTTGATCAACTTCTTAAGGATCTTAAGAGACTCAATCGAAGAGTAATGGCTTTTCAAGTTGTCTAAGCACTTGTAAAAGTACGATTTTGCAGTGCTAAACTTCCATTTCTTCAAAAGATCTCCTAGTTTAGTGATAGCGATGTCTGACACGTCGAATGGGTTCTTATCATCAGTGGCAAATCTCCATAAAAGCTCAGCAACTGAAGTGGTGTGCTCGCTTAAGGCTTTTGAAGATTTTCCCATCTCAAAAATACAGTTAACAGCTTCAGGGATAATTTTGACATCTTTGTCTTTAGTGAACTTGTCGAGAAATTGCTTCACATGGTGGCTTTGCATAACTCCAGACACTTCTTGAATGATTTTATAGATCTCTCTTCTGCTCTCATCATCAAATGAAGTACCCTTCCAGAAGAGATCAAGTTGCTCTGTTGATAGCTGATCCTCGGTAATCAAGAATTTCAAGATCTCCTTAGATCTTTGAATAATCTGAACGTGATAGTTCTTGTGGTCGAAGATAATATCCAAGATATTGTTCTTCTGGATCCATTCAAGCATCAATTCTCCACTGATTTTGCTTCCTCTAGCATATTTAATTCCTTTCAAGCTTTCAGCAAGGCTCTTGATACCATGAATTCTTCTCTCAAGGAAGTTAGACTTCAGACACATTAAGGCAATATTGAGGTTCAAGTTGTCAAGAGTCTTGTCTCTTTCATCAAAGCTCATAATTCTTTTAAGAATATCTCCTAGTCTAGTGACTATTTGCTCAACTTTTTCCTTCTTAATGTTTCTAATACTCTCTTCTGGAGCGTTGAAGATGGCATTCAGGATACCATCCTTCACCTTTGGGGCTAAGTCAGCAATGAAATCTCTGTGATACATTGGATAGATCCTTCCAAGACACTCCATATAGTTAGCAAGGAGTTCAAGGTTGATTGGGTTTTCCTTGTCAGTAATTCTACTCATAATCTGAGCAAATCCTCCTAGCTCTCCAAAAATATTAATACACTCTGTCAATAAGGAAGATTTACATCTGGTTGGTCTAGTAACAGCGAAGACTGGGGCATCTCCTTCCTTAATCTGAGCATCGCTGGAGTCATCAATAATAGTCTCTTCATATAGCCTAGTACCTCTGCCAGCCTTAGGTTTAGCTTTGGAAAAGAGTTTGGATACTTTTGGACTCCATCTAGGAACCCACTCGTCAAATCTTTCAGACCATCCTTCATATCTTTTTCCTTCATCATCAAGCTTCATTGAATCTTCTCTGTATATTCTGAATCCGACCTTGAGCATTTCCCAAGTCCTGCCGTTCATATCTGTATCCTCTCTAACTTCAAGGATTGTAGAGGAGTACCAAGTTTTGGCTTTATCAAAGGCATCTATTTCGTCTCCTGGCTTTAGCTCCCCCTTCCATTCTTGGTCCTTGGAGAACTCCTCAAATTGGGCAACCTCGCCTGAGAACTTGCTGATGATCCTAGAGTAGATTAGCATTTGTGGTCGATTTGGAAATCCAAGATCAGTAATTTGTCAGAACTTACTTATCATAAATCTTATGGTCACCTTCCATCTCAAGTTCAAGGAGTTCGTCTCTGATCTGAATGATCTTGGCAATACCCCAGCACTTGTGCTTCTCATCTCCTTTGAGGGCATCAACTTTGTCTCCAACCTTCAGATCATGCCTCCATTGTTCCATCTTCTTTTGTTCCATCTAAAGTGTTTTGAGAATTCGGTAGATTTTTGATAGCCCAAATAAGCGAAAATTACTAAAGATATGGTACAAATAAAATTGCGTTAACTTTTGCTTACAATTTTCTGTTCAGACAAGGTATCCTGGTAGTGGTAGATATGCAGCATGCAGTTAGGGTCAAAAACAAACTTCATGTGCTCAGATAGCTCTGGGTGCTCAATTCTCTTCACAAACAGTCTTGTGAACTGCTTCATCACTGTTGCAATGACATCGAGGTACTATGACAAGATTAGAAGATATTTCTCTTGATTACTTACATTAGAGTCGCTGGATCTTTCCTTATTGAGTCTCTTCAGTAGGTTCATGGCACATTCTCCGTAAAAGAACTTGCTGACTTCTTCGTTCTCTTCTAGCTTAGTTGGATCTTCAACAACTTTCTCGATGAAATCTGATAAATCTTTCATGACATCTAAGGGCTCCTCTCTATGATCAATGGTATTTCTGACAATGAAGTAATTATTCTTGGCAGCTTCTAGCTCTTCCTCCCAAGTTTTAACTGTTTCTTCTCCTTCAGCGGTAGCTGTTTGAGTCTCTTCAGTGACTTCTGGTAACTTTGGATCTGACATCTTTTGTCTTTTATTTATATAAAATGCTGAAATCTCGATATATATAACCCTCATGGGGTTTTGGGGTTTTGGGGTTTTGGGGTTTTGGGG